TCTCATTGATGTTTTTGGCCCCACCGGTCCAGCTCATATTGGAGTCTCTATTCATGCCACTTTAGCGGCAGCTTCTAACTCAGTGGGTTGGCTCATCCGTCCAGCGCGTTCACCTATTGCTGAAGACCTACAAGTCTATCTAACGACCTCGCCTCTGCCTGCTGATGTTGCAGTCACCGATCATTACAGTTGGCACATTGTGAACAGAGCAACCTCAGACTTCTCGACTGCTTCAACATGGGAGGCGTTAAGAACTCACTATCCGATTCAGCCCTGGACCAAGCACATCTGGTTCTCCGGAGCTGTTCCGAAACACGCGTTCACCATGTGGACTGCCACTTTGGACAGACTACCAACTAGATCTCGTATGGCCAGATGGTGCTCCAATAACATGAGTTCCTGCTGCTTGTGTAATGATGCTGAAGAAACAAGAGATCACCTTCTATTAAGGTGTGACACTAGCCGCCGAATCTGGAACATGGCTATGCGCAGACTTCGTACTTATAATAGACGCATCAACACTTGGAGTGGTCTGTTATCTTGGCTCTCTGAATCGACCAATGCTCAAACATCGCCACAGCTTCTTCGAAGGTTAGTGGCTCAATCCATTGTCTATCATATTTGGCAAGAGAGGAACGCAAGACTTCACTCACGCATTTCCACCCCGTCAGATCCTATATTCAAAAGAATTGGTTGTGCGATCCGCCATTGTATCCTTGCAACGCGAAAACAAAGGCAGTTTGTTGATCTAATGCATGTATGGCTGTTTAATTCATAGTTGGCAATTGACCATCGGTTTGGTTTGTAAGACTCCATCTTGTTTTTTATCTTTTTTGTGGCAAGATTGTGTCTCTAGGCTGGTTAAGCAAAATGTTGTAATTATACAAACTTCTTCTTTCTTCAATGAAATTTACAGTATTTTCAACAACAAAAAAAACCGTTAAAAAAAAAAACAAAAATGATAGCATTTAACGTAGAGAATAAGAAAACAAAAATTAGACTAAGATATGGGCTACAAAGATTATTAAGGACGGACAGAATATGAAAATTGGAATAGATTCGTAAATAGTGATTTTGTCATTTGCCTAATTTCTCTTCTCACTTATATGTTGTTATTATAGTTTGCAAAAAAAAAAATTAACAGAAACGGTCTCGCGTTACCGAAAAGATTATGAGCTAAAACTGTCTCCGGGTACTACTACTGCTAAATTAGTAGACAGTTACGGTTGACTTTTCCTCTTTATCTGTCGTTTTAGAAGAATTTTTTTTTGGATGGAATTCGTCTAAGAATTATGACTATACAATTATAAATACTCG